TCATTCAAGGCGTGCTCCAAGAACCACAACCAAGGTACCCCTTCCATCCATATACACTCGAGACTTCCTAGTGTGCTCCTACCCGGATGACACACCACGACCCTAGGTCAACTGGAACTCCCTCTCGGAGACCTATCCAGTGGAAGTCTGCACTGCCCGAAGGCTACACTGTTTACTGGCCAGAGACTCGGTACATAAGTACCCTCATAAATACTACATGCATGCTCATGCTCTTCTACAGTACTCATATACATTTCCTACCAATACCATCAACTGGCATGGTGGAACACACAAGGGGAACAAGCCCCAGTACCAAGAGATTACCTCAAAATGTTCCTTCACTTAGCTCCACAGCAGCTTATTTTCCAAACTCGTTATTCAACAGAATGCATACACAGAGGACATTCCCAATTACTCAAAAACTCATACAACACATGCCAATTTACAATTATACATGCATTGATCCAACCACTTACCTCAATCCACTTGGTCCAGGACCAAGGGCAATCCACTGACTCACGGTTCGGGGTTCAAATCGACGTACGGCAACCTACAATATCCATGGACGAAGCGTCAACACATGGCAATTCCATCAAAACGCGAAAAACGTCAAATCCTACACCTACACTAGGTGGTTCGGCCAAACAAGGCATAAATCCAAATTTATTTTTCTAAATTTTCTTTCTCATTTTATCACACATCCTTAGGTTGCCAAGAGGCTAATTCAAGTGCCGTTTTTTCGTTTTACATCTTTTAAGCATCGTTTTGCTTAATAATTCACTCTAGGTTCCTTTATGACCCTAAATACCACTTATTATTTTTCATTGATTCTACCACTTTCCAACCACCACACAACCCATTTAAATACCATTCAACACTTGAAACATCATCAAATCAATACAAACAACATCAATTTCCTAAAACTCTCTATATGGCCGAATTGCCAACTTGAATCCTCCAAGGAATTCTCACTCAATTTTAATCATTCCACACCTCATACAATCTCACTATATCCACATATCATCATCCAACAAGTCACCAATAACATCTTAACACATTTTCCAAAATCCAAGTCATGACACCTCAAAATATTCTAAGTTAAAAAATCTATATTTTTCACCTAAAATTTTCATTGCATTTATAGCTAATACACATTATTCCAAGACACTTTCTTGTACAAACTTCTCCCAATTGAGCTCTCTAATATCACACATCAACAATGCAAGGTTTAGGGTTCATAATTATAAACTACAATCAAACCATGGAAATGGGGTGGAAACATACTCACAACCAAGGCTTATCCAAGCAATGAGAGACCAAATGACTCCATGAAGACCACTTTTCTCCAAAATTTCGATTCTGCCCTAGGCCAAATACTCCATAAAGAGGCGATTTCAAGGCTTGGGAGTATCACCAATGGCTTTAGAATGGGTTTTCCAATGAATTTCAACACAAATTTCAAGGGTTTTGGTGGATAAATGGATGAGTTGTGAATGGAGGAACTTGAAGGTGCTTTAATGGTGGGAGGGGCTGCACACACACGTGAAGAAGAAGGGGAAAGAGAGAGAATGAACCGTGAGTGTGAGGGAAATAAAGATAACTTAAGTGGATTTGAGTGGGGCGGGTCCCACACGCGATTTAACTTTAATTCAATCATCAATTTTAACTACAAATCCATAATCTACGTATTTTTCTGGTTCATGACATATTTTTGTTTCCTAAAAATATTGATAAAATTTTCACACTTAACAGTACAATTATACCGCAGTATTTTACACCGGAAAAATCACTATTCGTCAATTTTTCTCAAATTTGCCTATCCACTCGATTTTTCATCCTGAGTCCGTTTCCGACATTATTTTTGTCATTTGAGGTCTTCAACTCAATTTTCATCAGCCTAGGTTTGCGTGTTGGCTAATTACCGTTTTGCCCTTTCTTTGTATTTTGGCCTAATCTCTAGAATTTTCACTAATCCTTCACTTAATTACTCATTTAATATTTTAATATTTAATTTATAATTGCGAGGTGTTATATATATGACTGTGAAATTTATGAACTCTGGATATCCTTAATCATGCTCTTAATATCTAAACGTTAAAATATATGACAAATAAAATAATTTACACCTTAAGGCATGAATGAATTCTTTACCGGATCTTTTCAATACAAGCTACTTATCTCTCCATGCACCACTTGAAGGGTGGTACAATGTTCAAACTTATGGCATAGAATATGGCTGACTGGCTGGTAGTATTATCCTAATGCACTGGTGTTCTGTCCTGAAGACATAGATGTTTAGTCCAATAGGCCATTAAATTTCTATTGGATCTAGGTTCTCTCTAAGGTATCTATGAGTTAGATACCCTTGAGTTTAGCAGATTACTGTACTCAAAGGAATAATAGACAGATTTTGCTAAAGGGGTGGTGTTTGTGTATAGTGATAACATAACAGTAAAGAGAGATAATAGTCATACCTGTAGGCTTTACCTCTTATTTATAGAGTTCACCTATGGGTATTGGGATTCTGAACCTTTTGTGCCTCCTCTAGAAGCCCAAGCCCAAGTCTGATGCTATCGTACTAGGATTTATATCTTTGATGAATATCCTCCTCTAATTATACTATATTTTATTTGGATTGCCCCTTATTGGGCCATATGACGAATGGGCCTCATATATGTGTCCATAATAGTTGACTCTCAGCCAGGCAGTCTGGATGTCCGGGCTGCTAGGGTGTATATAAGTTTGAAGAAATTACCCGAACTTCTATTGGTTTTTATACAGATCCGGGTTTCATTAAAAATTATCCAGATTCCCTTTGAGAAGTGTCCCGGTTTATTATATTAGTTCTAAGGGATAATGTATTTGTCCCATATTCGGGAAAATCGAATCTTTAAATTGCTGGGATCTAAATCATACGAATTTAATCCGAGTTGTGATCAACCTTGAATTATCTTCACTTTCTGCTGATGAGTTGCTGTCAGGTCCAATTATATCAACTCGGTTCAACTGCTCCTTATAGGACTTATCATCACTTTATTGATATGAGGCAGAATGAGCGTCGAAATGAAGGAAGAAGAGTGCGTATGAAGAAAGGGTTGATAATAACCTAGGAAGTATCAAGATGAAGATTCCATCCTGCCAAGGCAAAAATGATCCAGAAGCTTACTTGGAGTGGGAAAGAAAGATGGAGTTGGTGTTTGATTGTCATAACTACTCAGAATTGAAAAAGGTAAAATTGGCTGCCAGAATTTTCTGAATATGCTATTGTTTGGTGGGATCAATTTGTGTCAAATAGGAGAAGATATGGTGAAAGACCCTTTGAAACATGGGAGAAAATGAAAGCTGTCATGAGGAAGCGATTTATTCCAAGTCACTGCCATAGGGACTTGTTTCATAAATTACAAAGCCTCACACAAGGTTCTAAAAGTGTTGAAGACTATTTCAAGGAGATTGAGACAACCATGATTCGAGCCAATGTAGATGAAGATCGTTAAGCTATTATGGTTAGATTTTTGCTTGGCTTAAATCGGGACATTGCAAATGTGGTAGAATTACAACATTATGTGGAGTTAGATGACATGGTGAACATGGCCATAAAGGTGGAGAGGTGATATGAACAAGGAGACAACACCCAATGATCCATTACAATTACCAAATGGGCCAATCACAAGGTCAAGGGTCAAGAAGTTTAATGAAGCTCTTAGTGGGTTGATCTAGCAAATGTGGGCTAATCATGAAGACATAAAGTTCAAATTTATTCATAATCAGAATTTAGTTAAAGCTATCAATGCAAGGGAGGTTGAGTGGAATAATTAGCAATTTTCAATGTCATTAATGCTTTATGGGGTTGATAGCATTTTCAATGTTATTAATGCTTAGTGGGGTTGATTAGAGTCTTTTCCTTTTTCCAAGTTGTCAACTTTAAATTAATGTTTTTCATTTGTTAGTCTTTTCCTATTATTGGAGGGATGTTCCAAGTATAAATAAGGGAGGATACGACTCTTGTAATTAGATTTTGAAGTTATAATATAATAGAGAGGTTTCTTCTCTTTGGTTCATATCTAGAGCTCTGAACTTATCAAAAAGCTTATTCTTGTGGCATTCAAAACAGACTTATCACTCACTTTCTTCTTTCTTGAGTGTGGCGTCTTTACCCTTCTTATACCTTTGGTTCTTATCTTCCATAGATAACGGGTCAAGGATCTTTATTTCTTGTTTTAAATTCCTGATTGTAGAAACGATCCTAGCTAAATTGGTCTTGGGTCTCACTATTCTTGGTGAGGTTCATATCATTTGGTATCAAAGCTAGTCTTCTAAATCAGGTTTGATCTATCCTTATTTTATTGTTAACCTTTTTCATTTCTATTTTATTCTCCTTCTTGTGTCAACTACTCCCATTGGTACTATTAAAAAAAAATAAAAAAGGAAAAAAGGAATATTAGTATCTCCAGAAGCAAAAAAAAAGGAAGAAAAAAAATCTTATCCGAAATCCTTGAGGTGTAAAACTTGTAACTTCGAATTCTTTTCACTTTTGTTCTTTTCTATTCCATTGTGTACTTCTCTTCTTACTTAATTATAGTTATTAGTGCTTAAATTTATTGTCATTCCAACCTCTCTTTATCCCAAATTCTTGACATAAAAAAATATATTCTCGTGTTCTTCTTGTCTCTTCGTATTACATCTTGTGATCTGTTTGGATTTCTTCAAGAAAACTTCAATTGAATTCAGCTAAGAATTAAAAGAGGGAATTCAAAAGAGGGGAAAAAGGCAAGTGTGTGTGAGCTTATAAGAGAGTAAAAGCCTAATTTTGAAACACGAGTGTGAGAGCTATTAATTGGGAGAGAAACACGAGGTGTGTTTGTGAGGATATTCCAACTTTTGTTTTTTTGCAGATTAAAAAAATGTCTCAAGAAGGTGATGCTCAAATTCCTAAAGATTTCAAATTTTGCATTGAAACCATGGCATAGAGATTTGAAAGACTGAACTTCAGTTTCGATAAAATGCAAGATAGAATAGAAAGAGTTGAACAAAAGGAGCAACAACCTAGAACTTCAGAACATGAAAATGAAGATGAAACAAATTCGACGGTTGATATGAGGCAGAATGAGCGTCGAAATGAAGGAAGGAGAATGCGTAATGAAGAAAGGGTTGATAATAACCTAGGAAGTATCAAGATGAAGATTCTATCCTTCCAAGGCAGAAATGATCCAGAAGCTTACTTGAGTGTGAAAGAAAGATGGAGTTGGTGATTGATTGTCATAACTACTCGGAATTGAAAAGGTAAAATTGGCTGCCATAGAATTTTCTGATTATGCTATTGTTTGGTGGAATCAATTTGTGTCAAACAGGAGGAGAAATGGTGAAAGACCCATTGAAACATGGGAGGAAATGAAAGCTATCATGAGAAGGCGAGGAATAAGTATCGGAGCTGTTCTAATGCAAGAAGGACGTCTCATTTCCTTCTTTAGTGAAAAGCTAAGTGGAGCTGCTTTACATTACCCTACATATGACAAGGAGTTCTACGCACTGGTCAGGGCTTTGGAAACATGGCAATACTATCTTTGGCCAAAGGAGTTTGTGATTCACACAAATCATGAATCCTTAAAGCATTTGAGGGGCCAACACAAGCTAAACAAGAGACATGGCAAATGGATGGAATTTATTGAAACATTTCCTTATGTGATTAAGTACAAGAAGGGTAACGAAACTGTTGTGGCTGATGTATTATCTCAAAGGTATGCTCTACTTTTCACTTTAACTGCAAGATTGCTTGGGGATTTGAGTACATTAAGGACTTGTATGCTGATGATCTTGACTTTGGTAATGTATTCAAAGCATGTGAGAAAAATTCATTTGGAAAGTTCTTTAGACATGAGAGATATTTGTTTAGGGAGAAACAATTTTGTGTGCCTAAAATTTCATTGCGTGAGTTGCTTGTTAAAGAAGCTCACGGGGGAGGTTTGATGGGGCATTTTGGAGTGTCTAAAACCTTAGATGTTTTGCACGAACATTTCTTTTGGCCTCATATGAAACGTGATGTGGAGAGAGTCTGTGAGGGATTCATTACTGATAAACAAGCTAAATCTAAAGTTAAGGCTTATGGGTTGTATACCTATACCTAATGAACCTTGGGTAGATATATCCATGGATTTTGTTTTAGGATTGCCTAGGTCAAAAAGGGGTAAGGATTCAGTGTTTGTGGTTGTTGATAGATTTTCAAAAATGGCACATCTCATTCCATGTCATAAATCCAATAATGCATCACATATCTCAGACTTGTTTTTCAAAGAAATTGTAAGATTGCATGGTATTCTCAAAAGTATTGTTTCTTATCGAGATTCAAAGTTCTTCAGTTATTTTTGGAAAACTTTGTGGGATAAACTAAGAACAAAACTTTTGTTTTCTACTACTTGTCACCCACAAACAGATGGGCAAATAGAGGTAGTTAATAGGACCTTATCTGCATATAATAGGACAGTCTATTCAGAATCTAAGTTTTCACCACTTGAAATTGTGTATGGGTTAATCCATTATCTCCTTTGGATTTAACTCTTTTACCAGTAAGTGAACATGTTAACTTAGACGGAAAGAAGAAGGTTGAACTCGTTAAGCCAATTCATGAAAAAGCTTGGCAACACATAGAGAGGAAAACTAAACAATATGCCAACCAAGCCAATAAAGGGCGCAAGAAATTAGCTTTTGAATAAGAAGATTGGGTTTGGTTACATATGAGAAAGGAAAGATTTCCAGCCCAAAGACGTTCCAAACTGCTTCCAAGGGGTGATGGACCATTTCAAGTGATTGAGAGGATAAATGATAATGCCTACAAGCTTGACCTTCCAGGTGAGTACAATGTTAGTGCAACCTTTAATGTTTTTGATTTATCTCCTTATGATGTAGGTGCAGATTTGAGGACAAATCCTTCTGAAGAGGGAGGGAATGATATGAACAAGGAGACAACAACCAATGATCCAGTACAATTACCAAATGGGCCAATCAGAGGGTCAAGGGCCAAGAAGTTTAAAAAAGCTCTTAGTGGGCTGATTCAAGAAATGTGAACTAATCATGAAGACATCAAGTCCAAATTAAATCATAATCAGAAGTTAGTTAATGCCATCATTGAAAGGGAGGTTGAGTGGAATAATTAGCAATTAATGTTTAGTGAGCTGATTATATTCTTTTCCTTTTTCCAAGTTGTTAACTTTAAATTAGTATTTTTTTCATTTGTTAGTCTTTTCTTATTAACTCGGATATGGAAAAGAAAAAGTTAATTTAATATTAATCTTTCTAAAAGAGAGAAATGGAATATAAGAGGAGACAACAATTTATTTTGATTCACCCAATATAGGCTGTCTAATATGCATGTATTATATTCTTCTCACCGCATTCGTCACAAGTCACTCGGTTTACAAGGAGAATATAAATAGGATTATAAACTCTAAGTAACAGTAGCTATTTATGGGTTCAAACTCAAACTACTAAGAAAACAAAAAAAATAAAATAAGCGAGAGGCTCCTGGAGCCCCGCCCACTCATTGGGGAGTGAAACTCCCGTTGGCTTTCTCTGCATCCCGCCAACAAGAGTTGTCATCTAATTGTGAAGTATGATTAATACCCAACAATATGTTTATATTGATAGCTAAGAAAATAGCTCTTTGTATATAAAATATTTGAAAGTCAGAATTCCGTTGAATTTGTGCTACAACTAATTGTGATTGATATTAGCTCTTAGACGAATGATTAGTCCCAACTCTCCTAACTTTTTCAAAGACCACCCTTTCAAATTTGTTAGGTTCCGTGTAACATTAGTTAAAATTAACATATACAACGCAGGGTAGCAGTTCTGTCCTATACTTTTCTTTGAAATTAAATATAGAGAAGAACAAAGAAACAACCACAAAATCATAGTTGAGAATATTCCTCCTGCACATTTAGTCTCTGTCAATATATCCTTGCTCATGGGATGATAAATGGATAAGAATACCTGAATAGACATCAGATCTTATAGGTGAAAGAGGTATATTTCGATTTCAAATTTGATACCAAAATATCATTCAGTACAAATTTCATTCTGATTTCAGATTCAATCTAGCCACTTGTTCCTCCATATTTTGTTCACAAGTTGAAAGCTATAACTTGAACTTGTGGCTCTTCTACTATGCTCCTATTCAGTGGTGTAGCTAGAGAGAGGTAAGGTGGGGCAATCGCCTACTTTAAATTCATCAAACTTTTATTTTAGATTATATTTAGATTTAAAAGAAATATCATGTAATATAAGTTGGTTCCCTTTCATTTTTAGAGCTGAAGTCTACGAAGAAAATTAAAAATAAATAAATTCAAATCTAGATATGCATCAAAGCGTAATTGTGACACTTAATAAATCTAGTATGAGCCAGTCTCCTATGTTAGATTAATACTAATAGTTTAAATATTTCACTTTTACTTAATAAATCTCATTTTTGTAGGAACATGACAGGCTGGAATTAAGCCGGTAGAACAGCCCCACATACATAAGGTTTTGCCAAAGATATCAATTTCATTTTTATTTTCCACAGGGTTACACTGACAAATACATGACCATCAATTTCATAACCATACCTAATCGGGTAGAATTTAATTTAGGCCAATAATATGTCACATGCTATTTTCTCTTTGTTTTCTTCTTCATCCATTGTATCACATAGCTTTCCCCCCTTTGTTTCTGGCAAGAAAACTCCAAACAATCCACTACAACCTATCACCAACCCAAAAACCCCGTAACAAAGGATCTTATTGCCTCTACCGGCACTCACCAGCAATGGACTGAACGTGCCACCAAATACCACCGCTTGCCTCGCCATGGACAACCCCGAATTCCTCACACAAGTTGGGAACAACTCTGTTGTGTAAATTAAGTAGATATTAAACGAAGTACAAGCACTGAAGAATGATATTAACTCAAACCCAATTTGCATATTCCCTTCCATGACTGAAAGCACACTAAAAACACCACTTAGGATAGTGAATATCAAGAGTGAACTTCTCCTATTGAACTTGTCTATTAGAACGAAGGTAAGCAGAGAGGATGGTAATTCAGATAAGGCATTAAATGTGACACTTAAATAAAGGTTAAAGGACAAGATTCCAAGGCCTAGTGGCATACCATAATAAACCAATCCAATCCCAAAACCCATAGCCATAATAGCCAATAACCTTCTTGAAGACCATTTCTTTTGCAACAAAATCTTAAGGGCAGAGTACAAATCCACGTTCCAATTTTCCGCCTTGTGGGACATGTTATCAATAGCCAAATTGAGGTTACTTTGAGTAATTGATGTTATGCATTTCAGAGTTGCCACAGCTTCTTCTTTCCTTCCTTGCACTAGAAGCCATCTTGGGGACTCTTGAATTAACAACTTGACTAATACACAATACAAAATGGTTGGAATTGAAGTCCACAAATAAAGATTCCTCCATGAAGAACCCCTGTTTGTGTAAGCCATAGCAGGGAGTGACAAGAACCCTATAGTGAAACAGAAGAATCCGATGACACTAATCTGGCCACGCCACCGTTTTCCGACGAGCTCGGAAGCTAGGACAAGAGCAGAGGTTCCAATGGTGGCACGGCCAAACCCACATAGAAATTTAAGTGATGAATAGATCCAAATGTTTGTAGAAAAGGTTGCTAGCAAGGAAGCTAGGGACATCAAGAGACATGAGAAAAAGAGCATGTTTTTACGACCAAGTGATGAATCAGCCAATGTAGCCAAAACAACACCACCAACTAAGCACCCCATGAAGAACAATGAAGCTGGGAGGCCTGTGATGATGGAATTCTCACACTCCAAGCCCCATTCTGATATGATTGAGGCTTGTGTGGGTCCATTCCATGCCCATGAATCTTTTGGAAGGTTACAGAATGTGGTGGATGAGTTGCAAGAATCACCACCCTGTTCTGTGCAGTGCCATTGTGGTTGTGCATCTGTGAACACACTTACGAATGTTTGTTGTGCATCAAAGAGCCAAGCAAAGGAAACAAGAACAGCTTGGAGGAATTGGGTCCAATTGAATTCCCCTATGCAGAGTTCTACTGTGGAGCCAAGTGAAGGAAGGTGTTTATTCGTTGTTGTCGGTGGTGTTTCTGCGTCAGAAGAGTTTGGTTGGTTGAGAAGAGGGGTTAAATCTGCCATTGAGGAAAGAATATTTAGTATAACTCTTTACTTTTAGGGATGTGTATTTATATAGGACCATCGAGGTCGTCTACACTCTTCGTTATTAATTTATTTTCAAGCAAATGGTGGCTATTTTATGAAAATAATTTTTTTCCCTTTAATTCCTGTAGTGATATATTATAATATTATTTTCTAAAATATTCTCTTTTTTGTAAACAAAAAAAAAAAAATCGTGAAAAGAAATTTAATTCTTATAAGGATATGTTAATACTGTATTTGTTTTGTGAAATTTTTTTTCAAGTAAAGAAATACTTTAATCCAAAAGCTTATTATTAGCTGTATGTTATATTAATAGTTTTATATTATTTTTTTAACATATTTTTTCATATAGAGTTTATTGAACTTTAAAAGTGGACAATACACTTACTTGCTACCTATCTATTTATTTAAGAAATTTCATTATATTTAATGGTTTATTAATAAAATAAGGTGAGAGTAAAATTTATAATATTTGATTACAGAAGCTTTGATATTATATAAAGAATAAATTTAACATAAAAATTTAAATTCTTAAATTAAGGCAGCAGACTTAATGTATTACTTATTAAAATTGATAAAAAATAATCCAGTAAATTTTATTATTAATATCCTGGTATTGTAAATATCCTCCTCTTTTTAGCATTGAAAAATCATTTTTTTTATGTGTTCGGGAAGTCAAGTCCCCATAAATTAACTTCTTAACATTTATTTTAAATAATACATTAGGAAGTATATATATTTTTAAATATATGAAAGTACAAACCTAAAGTAGTTTTAAAGATAATATTGAAATAAATGATGGCAGCTCAGTTGTCGTCATGGAATTGAGTCGGTAGGGATAAGAACGTGTATTTGATTCTCTCTAGTACCGTTTTTGAGAGAGGTTTAAAACCTTAATCCCAGAATCCATCTCGAATCAGACTAATCACAAAACAATAAACCGATTAAAATATCACAAAAGAATAACATAGAAAATTCACTTTCAAAGGAACTAACATCCCACAGATAAGAAAGAAGAACATTTTAAAAAATAATGTTACAACATAAGTATTTTAAGTGTGAAAGTTAAAAAAGATATTTTATTTTTTTATAAAATAAAAAGATATTTTCTTTGAAAAGCATAACAACCTCGTCCAAAATAAATACATTTATACACCCGCTTGTTCTCATTACTTATTTGTCCCAGCAAAACTATACATATAACAATTTTATATCAAAATTATCTATAATCGCGTGGCTAAGACACATTGCGTTATATGCCAACAAATGAAAATTTTAAAAACGAAGACAAACTCATGAAATAACCAAAATAGTGGACTCGTGAACTCTTTCATTGCAAATTATTTCAGGTATTTAACATTATCTAACTAACCCATTTATTTCACGAGTTATTTATACTTTATATTTTGTTTTTATAATCCTATTATCAGTGGCGGAGCCATATGTATTGTGGGTGTGGCTTCGGCCCGGGTCAAATTTTAACAAATTGTACTTATTATATATAATTATGTAATTAATTATAATTTAACCCGGATTAAAATTGTAATTTGGCCTGAGCTATAATTTGTAATTTGGCCCTATGTAAAATTTAAAATATTTTTGGTGAAAGATTTGGGTAAGTTGTATTAGGTTATGTGTTTAATTTTCACTTGTATAAAAAAAAAATTATTTTTAGTAAAATTAAAAAATATTTAATAAAATTATAACTCTTCTTTGTGCTGCTTGCTCATATGTTATGTATTTAATATAATTAAATACATTATGATATGAATTAACTAAAATTAAGAAAAATAAATACACATATAATTTTTTGGCCCGAGCTCAAATTTAAACTCTGCGAGTGGCTATTATCGTCGTATGAATGATATAAACGTAGATCACGTATAGATAAAAACGTGACAATTTGCTTCTTTTGATATGTTCAGATTTTTATTTTCCCACGTAAACTTCATATACTTTTTAATAACTTCATTGACGCGTACAAGATTCGCCTTTGAGCTGCAAATTGTGACTGCATTCAACTAAAGATCAACATGAAATCATAAAGTAATTAAATATAATGGTAGGAATCCTTTCATTTCTTCTAACCATGTGATTTCAAGCATTATTTTAAGTTATCATGGGATCCAAAATAATATACAATTTCAAACCACCAGCTCGTAAGCGTTGTGCCGTCGAAATTATTGATATGTTCGGCGATTAGGATTACAAGATCGATGGGCGCTGTGGGTTGGCTAAAACGCGGAAACTAGCTACCCCTTTGTTTAGGTATTTTATCTATCGTGCTAAACATGATAATAAACGTGGTAACGAATATTTTGTTCCAGAAAGATCTGTATGTTAAATCTAATCTCATCACTGTAGCATAATTAAATTTTTGGCAGCATTTAAATTAATTTACATAAAAACTACCATTAAGTTATAAAATAAAGTGTTATTATTATTGGATATATTAATAAAATAGTTTAATAATACGTTCATATACTAACCCAATAAGTTAGAACATGATTATTTGGGTATATAAGAATTGAAGCCCAATAGCTTGCATTATCTCTAAGGTTTTCTTTTATTGTAATATCTCAAGTTATTGGATATATTAATAATATAGTTTAATAGTAGGTTTACATACAAGCCCAATATATAGGTGAAAATGTGGTTATTTGAGTCTATATGGACTGAAGCTCAATAGCTTGTATTATCTCTAAGAATTTTTCTAAGTTGGAGATAACATTATTAAGCATTCAAAACTTGATATATGTTAGTGTAATACTTCAAGCGTATCAAAATCCTTCTTTCTCAAACTCATATCCTCCGACACAAGCAACTCTAAATCATTTTCTCTCGAACGCATAATCTCCGGCAGTTATTTGTATTAGCAATATTTTAACAAGGATTGTTTTGCACTTTATCGCTAGGTAATAATTAATAATAACACGTTATCATATTATTAACAACATTAAAAAATATGTTTCTGATTTATTCTTTTTATAAGACTTGAAAAATATTATAATTTACACTTTTTTAACATTTAAAAAAGAAAAAAAATATTTATCATTTTAAAGGACATAATTTTGTGTCATTTTAAATGAAATAATCGTGTTATGATATATATATATATATATATATATATATATATATATATATATATATATATATATATATATATATATATATTAGTGAATTACCCGTGCGATGTCCAGGAGAAAAGAACGAAATTGTTGTCGCCGTTGTTGGTTAATCATCGCACCGGTAAATCAACACCTTCATCTTGTTATTAAGCTCTGAACGGTACTATGGTGGAGGTATAAACATGAAGGAACAAAAAATAAAAAAACAAACCTGTTACTTGAGAATTATGTGAAATAAAAAAGAATTATCTTGATATTTTGTGCTATTTTTGAACTTTAAAAGGCTACAACATTCACAAGGAACTTGTGAATATCAACCACAAACAAATCTGCAACTCATAGGCATTGACTGTTATGCAAAACAAATATAGTTATGTACTCAATAATTCATTCTTCAAATATAACCACCAATGAATCTTCTCCTTTGCATTATTATTCAATATGATCCTGTCTTATTGTTTCAACCGTTCACAAAATTTGCTACAAAATGGAATCAATTAATATACATGAAAAAAAAAAATTAAATGTTGTGCTGATTGTTCATTTTGTTTCGATGCACTTTTATTTATCACAATATGATTGTTCATTTTATTTAGATATTTGTTTCTGAAATATTTACAGTAATAAATCTAATTATCTTAACCATACAAAGAGGGTTTTGTTAGACAGTAGATATAAGGGGGGAAACGTGTTCGCAGGCGGGGTGGCCCGGTATAACACCTCGCATTCCTAAGTTTAAATATTAAAATATTAAATGAGAATTAAAGAGAAGGATTAGTGAAAAATCCTGAATAAAAAGGCCAAAAACAAAGAAATGGCAAAACGGTAAATTAGCCACGCACACAACCTAGGAAGAAAATTTAGTAGAAGGTCTCAGATGATAAAAAAGAACATTAGAAATGGATTCAGAACGAAAAATTGAGTGGATAGACAAGTTTCAGAAAAATCAGTGAATAGTGTTTTTACCGGGTAAAAATATCGCGGTATGATTGTACCGTAAAACGTGCCGATTGAGTTTTGAGCTCTAAGGTTTTAAATATGAGCTATAAATGGTCTATAAAACTAGGAAATACGATTTCTGATAAAATTTGATGGAAGTAAATTAGTTTGGGGAAGCGTGCCAACGGTGCGTGCAACAACTTAAAACAGCATTTTCTCCGAACGATCGGAAAACTCCGGATTCATCTGATCAAGTATAATTAAAGGACCGTGGTTAATGTTAAAAATTAGAGTTTCTAAATAGATTTTAAATTTATGGACGTTTAGTGGAATCGGAGGGAAATTCAAACGGGTTTGAAACGCGTGAGGTGGCGGTGGGCCCCACCCCACTTAAGTCCACTTAAGCCACCTAAGATTCATTATTCATCATCCACTTTCCTTCCCTTTTTCCAGCACAAACCCGCGGCCATGGAGGAGAATAGGAGCAAGCTTCAAGCTGTGATTTCTCACACAATACCTCACCAAAATCCACAAAGTTTGTCACTAAATTTCATGTAAACCATCATCCCAATCCAACCATACTAGTATTAGGCCTTAAAAACCAATAGATTGGGAGAAAAGTTTATGAATATGAAATAGTAGAAGAGAAATTACAGACTCAAAGACTCAATACATAGTGATTAAATACAACAGTAAAGGAAAAAATGGAGAAAGATTGTATTTTGCTCATGAGGAGACCTAATGGAGAAGAGAAAAGATAAGGGTGTTGCTTCACACTAAACTTGCATACCAAACCTTCTTATGCCTTTGTCTGATCTTCCATTTACATACTGGGAAAACAGTCACAATCTAGTGATTACTTCAAGTCATTCCCTGCACCATAGGATCAAGGATGTTTTTCCTTTCTTTGATCAGACGATGGACTTTACATTAAGGTGGATATGGTTGGAGTTGAGTTGTTTCCTCTGCTCTGCCTTCCCAAGGATGATCCTTTGACACTCAGATGCGTCCCACCTCTTGTCATGCTCTGCTATATATCGCGACGTCCTTATTTCGCTTTGTTGTGCGTGTTTGTCCTTTTTGGTGCGCTTTGCAGCCGTACTCTACAGAAAAGCAAAAAGAAGATGTGAGTTGAATAGAAAAGCAAAAGTAAGGGACAACTCATCACTCTTTTATCTCTTTCTTCTCTCACTATTCCATGTTGGCAGTCGTTCCTTAACACGAACTAACACTTATTGCATTTAAACTAATATTTATAACCAAACATACTAAAAAGAGGCAGAACGACTTTCATTCTTCACTAAAAATGAACCGGATGGAAAGGAAATTTTGTCCCATCAAATACCCCAAAACTTAACTTTTGTTCGTCCTCGAACAACTCAATGCAGAAGTCATTTCATTCATCCAAAAGCAGTTCAACAATCATAAATCAAAGAACAAAATTCATACAGAAATAGATTCATAGATTTTAATCAATGTCATACAGAGTTATTGATCCATATCTTGCCAATCACTCATGGGTACTGTTTCACTCATTGTTTCGGAAGATTTATGGTTCCTTGAACTTTGATTGCCTCTACTTTGCAATGAATCACTTGATTTCTTCAATCAAAGGGGCTTTTAAGGCTTGTAATGGCGCTTAAGCTTTGGTGGAAGTGCTTGTAAGTTGGGTAATTTAGAGCAGTGAACGATTTGATCCCTTTTTTCGCAGGAACACCTCTTGCGACTTTATGGGAACACCTTTATTTCTGATTGCTTTCTTCTTTCCCTTTAAGGAACATATCTCTTTTTCCTTCTTTGTCAGCAGTTGATCTTAATATTTTTTTTTGACATTCCGCGAAATTTTTTGGTGCTTTATTTATTGGTGTTCCTGATAGCTTTACCTTCTGTCGTTCATTACTCTGGTGGATGGAATTCATGATGATGGGGGATGGTTTTGAATGAGATGAATATTCTAGCTTGGATGAGGGTGACTATGGAATGATGCGAACATTGGTTGTTTGACTCGAGCTTAGTTGAAAGATGGCCCTTGTGATGTTGAAGTCTTCTAAGTGATTCTGCAATATTAATAGTGTTAACACAAGTTCGGGGATGATAGATAAAAATTCTCCGGAATGCTCTCTCAAAGAATTTAAGTGTTTGGCTTTTCGTTCTTTACCTTGTTAGCCTCACTCAGATCAGAACCTTAACAATTCTAAAGATCAAAATTGAACTTATTCTTTCTCACTTTTCACAATATCTGTTTCTGAGTTCAAAATGCTACTTAATACTAAAATATTTTTTGTTTTTCTTTTTTCAAATAAACAAACAATTAAAACAAATGAATTATTCAAAGCATCGAATAGTAAGTAAGGTATTTCGTTCCACGCAACAAAAGCATTAACAACTAAAAATTCAAACAATAATTTTCATAAAATAACAAAAATCATAGTCCTATCAAAGCAAAATTTTCAAAAGAATAAATTAATCAAAATCCTAGAATAAAAAAATTGCAGAAATTAAAGTAAATTAAATGTAGAAATGTAAAGAGTATAGAGATAGAAGCGGGTACGGTTGATGTTTCAGAGTTGTCCCCATCTTTTTCTCTTGTCTTCATCATTATTTCTTCTTCTTCTTGCCTTTTCCTTTCTCTTTCTTTTCCCTCCTACTCTTCCCTCCACTGCTTGGCTTCTTCCCCTATAGCTCTTTTTCTTATTTCTTCCTTCAAGAGTAGCAGTTTCTTTTATTTGACTATGACGTTCGTGACTTGAGCTTCACAGAACAACTTTTCAAGTCCAGTCAGCAAATAAGAGATCATATTAGTATGATTGCCTATATGATGCCTGAGTGCAAGTTTCTCATTAACATCATCCTTAACATGTCGCTTCACTTCACTCAACCTCAAGCCTATCTCCTTGCTAAACTCCATGAGATAATTTCCAAAGACCTTCATTAGCTCCTCTGATTTCTTCCTTCCCTTAGCATCTTTTATCAAGGAGCTTTTGAAGGGATCCTCCAGCTTTAGTTATCTTCAACTTCTGCTTGTTCTCTAGGCTTAATGCAGCTTGACGAATTCCAAACAACATAGCTTGCAGGTCTAGTTTGTTCATCCTTGCAGCACGAGATGTTGAGGGTTTGGGCTTGAGGTTGAGTTTATTGTCTTGCTATTGTCCCCTTGATTGTTAGGATGATTTCTTTATCTTTCTTCTATTGTTGTTCCTAAAACTAAGTAAAAGAAGAAGAAATATTGTTAACAACATCCTTCAACTCACTGATATCGGATGTGATTTGGTCTATATGCTCTTGGGGAACACCAGTTCATTGAAGAAGGGCCTCCTCTATTCTGTTTCCATCATTCCAAAGATTTATCCAAGGCCTATTTCTGATTTTCTTCTAACATTTATGGGCTATGCCTAGATAGGATCTTTGGTTTTTCTTCTTTTGTTGGAGGGCTTTTTATTTTTCTAGTCGTGAGGGTCTAATCAGGTGTTACTTGTGTTTGGATGAGTGGGACGTCAATTGCATTTGTTGGGGTTGATGAAAGTGTGGATTGAGAGGTGGAAGGGATTTGTGTTATGTTTATGGGCTCAGTTAGGGTGCTCTGAGACAAAGTAGGAGAAGAGGGACGAATTACAATTTCATCCTCTGGAAATGTAGGGACATGAGTGGGTACTCCCAAATTGATTGTCCTGGGTACTCTCACCTTTTTCTTCTTTGGAGGATTAGGGTCAATAGCCTTACCCTTTTTTATCTCTAATTTTCTTCTTTCCTCATCCTCCTTGGCAAGTCGTTCTTGTTCCTCCTTCTGTATCTTCCTTTTTTCTTCTTTTTTGTCTCCTCTCTGCTGTTCCTGAGGAGACTTTTGTTATGGTGGGCATGAATGTGTATGGAATGGGATATCAGGGGAGTCAGAAATAGGAGAGAAAGATTTTTGAGGGGATTCCTGTTAGGAATCCTCTTGTTGTTCCGGAGTCACTTCTTTCTCTTTTCTTTGTCGTCTTCTTCCTCTTCAGCTTGAAACAGGTCAATGGACTTGTCAGCGGTTGTTCCCTCTGTTCCTTTGGAAAGCTAGTTGCTAAAGGTCCTTCTTATTCTTTGAGATCTCCTCTCGCCTCTGGCTGTGGATGGTTTTGAGGGAGATGATGCATACATCTTTCTTTTCTTGCTCTCAGTAGCAGCAGAGGTAGACCTAGTTTTGGTAGGGTGGGAGACAGAGGTTGTTTTGGAGGGAGATTTGTAACAGCCCGTTGTACACCGATATTGTTAACATTAATTATGATATTAAGCGCAGTTACAATCACAACAATTCATTTATAAAAATGCGAGTAAACTTTTTCCGTTTACTACGCGAGCATTTAAAACCGTAAAAAAACGTAATAAATAAAAGTTGTGACCATAACTGTAAACTCTTGCGGAATACTTATTTAAACTATTTTTATATCTTATTTTACTTAATACAAGTCACTAAGGGGTTCCCATAAACCCGCTTAGCCAGTTTATCAATCTTACGTTTTCTACCTATCCGAACGTGGTTCTGTATATTTATTCATATCCTCGCAATTTTCTTTGTGTTCATCTCATATTTTAGTATCTTTTACGGGACTTAATTACCTTTCTAATGAGCCATCACACGAGGTATTTCGATCCTGTTTTCTCCGGATATCGCCGTTTGAAGTTGGACAAACAAATCTGTCAGCCAACCCCAAAACAGCTCCAAACATCCTTCACCAAATCAATTACTGCAGAATATACACTCAACAAATTCCTCTAAAGATTTTATAAAACAAACTAGACACCTCAAACTTCAATTTTATATATCATACACCTAATTTGACCAAGAAACGAAGCGGGAATAAATTTCCCAAAGTCGGTCCAGAACTGCCCAATGTGCAGTAGCTAACTGTACAGTCCGAGTTCACAGCCCTCTACAGGCCGACGCCCAACCCATAATTTCCTCAAATTTTAAAAAAAGATAGGGGACATCTCAAGCTTCAAAATGGCGTATGGAACGTCCCTATCAGACTTCTGTGGAGGGAGATATGCTCTCCCAAAGTTCACTCAAAATCTGTTAATTTCTAGAAATTTCGCCAGAGTTTCCTTTGTTTTTCCAATGAATCCCACGTTTGTAAAAGTGCTTAACTATCCTCCAATGTACCTAATAGACATGGGTGGCACACAAGGATCAACAGACCTTGGGGCTCTTACAACCCACAGTATAAAACAATTCCTTATCATATAATGTAGCATACCGACCTGATCCATAACTCTATATATATCACATCAAAAAGGTGGCTTTGTGCCATAACTACAACATCCTACATCAACCTACATAAACATAATACATCACAGTGTCACAAATATATAAATCTGTACACAAGCTAGTATAGCCTGTCAAAAGCCTAGCTAATAACCATGCATCGGCAAAATATCAAATAGCCAGATCACAGTGGAACATATATATACAACAGACTCCCAAAATAAGAAGGCAACATTTATGCTCAGAGATCTACTCATCAGCCACGGGCCTCTTGCCTCGAGAACGGTCGTCAACTGCTGCGTTACCTGAAATATGTCCCCATAACGCGGGGTGAGAATGAATCTCAATAAACTTGGGGTTTATGGAGCAGTCTCCACCCAAGAGTCCACTTCCTGCAAGAAAATATCAAGTACCAAGACATAGCTAACACCTTATAATCCATATTAGAATTTTCGTATCATATATCTTTTCTGATAATTCTCATTTATTCTTATAATGTACTTTCTAATTAGTCTTAAGTATGTTCATGTCTTATGTATAAATAAGGCTTTCATCTTATATTCGTAATATCGTATCACATTCAATAGCATACTCATAATGATCAGAGAACTAAAGTTTCCTCGGCTATACCTTATGTACACCGTGATCATATCCATAAATGTTTCCTCTGTTCAGAAACCATAACTTACACTTCCAAGGCTTTATTTCATTGAAGATCATATTATATTAACTTATCATAACATAAATAATATCATATGCATGCACTATATGAATGCAACTACGCAAAGTATCAATATTAGCAACAATCATATCCATACGGAAACCATAATCGCCACTGATCATGGCGGAACAAAAAGGCTGAGAAAACTCCTAAACCGAAAGCTTACCTGAATGTTTTCCGTTTCTATAACTTGTTTTACACGAAGACTATGAACTTAGCTATCCACGTGTAGTCCGTCTCATAGGGTTCGAATTTCTGGGATTCACTCCTCTTGCTTTTCACTGGTACCATAATTAACGTACCGTTAATGACAGTTTATTATATTATTTATTAAAGTAACCAATTTTCTTTCGGTTACAAACGTTCATTAACTTAGTGATTCCAACATTCCTTTATTTATTACAATTCATGGCATACAAGGTCTTACTCTTAATTCACAAGTCATAATAGACCCTTAACCGGTTAGTTCAACCACTAATACCCATACATATTTTTATCTCATTAAGACTTGCATACACTGTTACGGTCTACAAAACATAGACAAACAACTCATATAAGCTGATTCTAATTCATTTCTCTTACTATCCAAAATCATACATATATAATTTCATCAAGTTTAATTAGCTTAACTCTTGTGAAAGCATTCACACACTATAGTTCCATTAACTTGACATAAAACTAACATCAATTTCCTTAGCCATGTAATACATATTGGTCGAATAGTTACATATATATATACTCATGGATTTACCATTTCATCTTAGATAATTAATGCTTCATTTTACTAACAATTGCAAAGGAACATCACACACTCATAATATTAATTAACACCATTCAATGGCCAAAATACATGTATAGCCTAAATGTGCCCATGTAAGTTCCCCACAATTTATCAACTTTTATATCATAAAACAAACATTCTTTAAGCATACCTACATGATCAATAATCATTCTTCATCACTCTTGCACTATATGGCCGATTGACCTATTTAATGATTCCATAGTTTTCTTTCAAGCTTTCAATCACTTACATCATATTCAAGGAACCTCCAACACCATTTAGCTTAATGACAACATAATTCCATTCACTGCCATGAAATAGCCGATTGGAACTTATAGAGTTTCAAGGATTTTCTCACCACCTCTACTCTTTACTCTTTATTCTCATCAATCTTTAACCAATCATTGAACATGAATTCATATGCAAAATTAATCAAACACATCATGTACCTATTTAAACTACCAATTCCAAATAGTAACTATATGACAAATTGAGAATTCTATCAACTTCACTACATAATACCAACTTGCTTCATGCTAAGTAACCTTCTAATATATATTTTTAGTCACACACACATAAAAACAAGATCAAAATATGTCTTATGTAATTTATTTTACTTGGCCGAATTGGCCTATAAAGGATTCTATAGTCTTTCTTCATAAATTCACTCTTAATTTAATTAAAGAAATCATCAAACAATCACTTGAAATCAATGTTTCTTTTAGACAATCTAACAAACACATGGTTGGCACCACTTAATCACATTATAGCTAACTTTGTTCATCAACCATATATGTTCCAATTATCCTTTATATCAACTTTCATAATTAATATAGCAATCCTCACTAATCATAAAGTGTGTGGATGTGTTGCCTACACTAGAATTTCAAAGGTTTCTTTTAACTTTCACTCAATATTTATTAAACCAATCCTTATTTGTTCAAATAAAAATCATAGCTTCACTTAGACATTTTAACAAACACTTGGTTTACATAAATTTTCATGCCTTGGCCAATTTGTTCTTTGTTCTCACAACAATTCCCTTTTGTTAATTTAAAGCTTTTCTATGTTTAGTTTGACATCAAATCATCAAACAACCTACAACCATACATAAACCTCATTAAATATTCATGATATAAAACCATAATAAACAGCCCTAATTCCATAGCAACCCCCTTGATACATTTATTTTCAACCATTAAAATTGAGATAATTTACCTTGTCTAGCTTCCACTTCAACTATTCAACAATCCCAAGCTTAAAAGTGAAGAAGATCACATAAACCCCTTCTTGACAGCATGTATTTCACAAGAAAATGAGAGGATTTTCTCACTTTAGAGAGTTTCTCTCAAAGAACTACACCACGGAATATGTTTACAAGGTCATAGCCTTTACTTTCTATGAAGAAACCTAAGTAGAAAGATGATGAAAAAAACGATGCACTCTTGCCCTTTTCTCTCATATACGCTCGACTGTAGAAGAAGAAGAAACAAAGAATAAATCGTGGAAATGAAGCTTAAAAAAAAACAACCGACTTTGGGTACACTTAATAACTAATGGATTAACTTTCTTGTCATCTCACTAAAGACAAAGCAAGGAAACTAACGTGAAACACCAGAAAAAATAGAAAACCGATTTGGAAAGTTAACCAATTTCCTATTGGTTGCTTAATTCAAATGCTACTACTTGAATACAAGGAGCAAAAAAATAACTTGGAGATGGATTTGGTCTGCCACCGATTTGGACCTTTAGTAATGGGCCAATTTACTTAATTTCCACTTTACAAACACTTAACTTGTAACCTTAAAATAGTTTTCTATTGGTTCCTTTCTTACTAACTTTCAATGGTTCTTAACATACTACAAGGAAAGAAAAGTGACATGGAGGTGCAGCAAAAGAGATCAACTTTAGTAATATTAAAGTCCAAGTAACTTTAATTGTTACCTTGTTATACATCTTTGACCCTTCTAACCTCAATTAAATTCTTATTGGTTTTTAATTAATTTATCTTACTTAATTTTAATAATTATTATAGAAATTATCTAATTAACTTAAAGGTACTTTAAACCCACTAATTTTGCTAAACTAATTAATTATACATTCTAAATCATAATTAGACTTACTTCGTCTAATTATTAAAATAACTCTAATCTTTCACTACAATAACATCCATATCCTCATATAATTTTTTTGAATAAGTGTTTAATTTAATTAAACATCTAATTAATTTCTTTTCTCTTAATTTAGTAACGAGGATTGTTATAAGATTCCTCAAAAGGCTTCTTCTTTTTGGTTCCAACCTTCTTAGACCCTTCAATAGTCTGAGTTGACGCTTTAGTTAGAGTAGATAATGATGGCTTTGTTTTTATAAAGAAGGGTTTCTTAACTGCCTCCTTTTTCTTGGTATTGGTGTGTTTTGGATTTTTGGAAAAGGCCAAGGAAGACTCCCCTACTCTGCCTTTCTTTCTTTTTGTTGTAGTTTCAGGTTTAGTAGCGTACTTCTATTATGCCTCAGGGATTTTCCATCTGGGTCTCCAAAGGTTCTATGCAAATTACTATATGTTTGGTGGTGAAGGGGTAAGCCAGAAAAAGGCTGTTGTTCTCTAAGGGAACAACTACACCACCAACATTGGTGAATAACTTTGAAACTAGGTAGGGGAAACAAAAAAAAGTTCTTTTTGAAGTCATTTTTTAGACTTTCGTAGACGAGGGAAACAATATCAAAGACTATCCCCCATCATGCAGTACATCAGAACCATCATGCTCTATTTAGCAGAAGAGTCCTGTGTGGTTGGGGTTATGCTGGAATTGACGAAAAAAGCCCATAATTTTGCCTCATGGTTGAGGGAAGCTTTAGAGACAACACCTCTTTGGAGAGGTTCATCAAGTACAACAATGGTTCTCAAGACAAGCAACATGAGCTTACCGCCACATTCTGAGTCACCATTTCTTGGTATGGAAGTTTATCAACCACACGAGTGTGAAAGCTCTTAATTCGGAAAGAAATACGTGAGGGTGTGATTGTGAGAATATTTCAATTTTTTTTTGTTTTTGCAGATTAAAAAGAAATGTCTTAAGAAGGTAATGCTCAAATTCCTAAACATTTCAAATTTTAATTTAAAGCCATGGTACAGAGATTTGAAAGATTGAACTTCAGGTTCAATGAAATGCAAGATATAATAGAAAGAGTTGAACAAAGGGAGCAACAACCTAGAACATAAGAACATCAAAATGAAGATGATACAAATTCTACAATTGATATGAAGCAGAATGAACATCGAAATGAAGATAGAAGAGCGCGTAATGAAAGAGAGGGTTGATAACAACCTAGGAAGTATCAAGATGAAGATTCCATCCGTCCAAGGCAGAAATGATCAAGAAGCTTACTTAGAATGGGAAAGAAAGATGGAGTTGGTGTTTGATTTTCATAACTACTCAGAATTAGAAAAGGTAAAATTGGCTGCCATAGAATTTACTAATTATGCTGTTGTTTGGTGGGATCATTTTGTGTCAAATAAGAGGAGGCATGGTGAAAGACCCATTGAAACATGGGAGGAAATGAAAGCTGTCATGAGGAGGCGATTTATTTCAAGTCACTACCATAGGGACTTGTTTCATAAATTTCAAAGCCTTACACACAAGGTTCTAAAAGTGTTGAAGCCTATTTCAAGGAGATGGGTCAGCCATGACTCGAGCCAATGTGGATGAAGATCATGAAGCTACTATGGCTAAATTTTTGCTTGGCTTAAATCAAGACATTGCAAATGTGGTAGAATTGCAACATTATATGGAGAAACAATTAAAAAGGAAGAGTACCATGCAATGGGGGCAAAATTCAAGTTCATCATCAAGGTCAACTTGCAGCAAAAATGAAGATAAGCCTTAATTCAAACCTAAGTTTGGACCTTCCAAAGCCAACCCAGTTAGAGGAATTTCTAGCCAAGGTAAGACAGAACCTCAATCCTCTAGAAATACAAATATAAAGTGTTTTAAGTGTTTGGGAAGGGGTCATATTGCTTCTCAATGTCCAAACAACAAAGTCATGATTTCGAAAGATAATGGTGATATTGAAAGTGAAGGGAATCTGATAATGAATCCATGCCTTCTATAACACCTCGCAATTCTAAATTAAGTATTAAAACATTAAATGAGTAATTAAGTGAAGGATTAGTGAAAATCCTGAAGATTAGGCCAAAATACAAAGAAAGGGCAAAACAGTAATTAGCCAACACGCAACCCTAGGAAGATAAAAATTGAGTAGAACGTCTCAGATGGTAAAAATAACCCTGGAAATGGATTCAGAACAAAAAATTGAGTGGTTAGGCAAGTTTCAGAAAATTCAGTGAATAGTGTTTTACTGGGTCAAAATACCGCGGTACGATTGCACCGTAAACGTGTCGAGTGAGTTTTGAGCTCTAGGTTATAAATATAAGTTATAAATGGTTTATAGAACTAGGAAATATGATTTCTGGTAAAAATTGATGGAAATAAGTCAGTTTGGGGAAGCGTGACAACAGAGCGCGCAACAGCTTAAAACAACGTTTTCTCCGAACGACCGGAAAACTCTGGATTCATCTGATCAAGGGTAATTAAAGGACAATGGTTAATGTTAAAAATTAGATTTTCTACATAGGTTATGAAATTATGGACGTTTAGTGGAATCAGAGGGAGTTTTGAATTAATTTAAAAACGCGTGAGGTGGCGGTAGGACCCACCCCACTTAAGTGAACCTTGCCACATGGCAAAGCCCCCATTACATCATCATCTTCCTCCCTCCTTCTTCTCCAAACCCGCAGCCCCTTCATTATTGTGCAAAAATGACTTTGGAAACTTCATTTCACCATAACTTGATCATTTCTCCACCAAATCCGTCGATTTTTGGCTTGAAACATGATGGAAAACACCTTCTAAAGCCATTGGAGGTACTCTTGAGCCTTGAATCCAGCTGTATTTTGCGAAATCTCCTCCTCAAGGCCGCGACTCACTTGCTTAGATTTCTGTTCATGGAGCTTCTAGGTGCTCCAATGGTGGAGTATGTTTAGGAGGAGCCTTGTGCCTTGCATTTGGGTGAGTTTCCTTGTATTTAAACGGTTGATTCATGTGATTTGAATTATGAACCCTAAAGAGGGCTTAGATGATTGATGTGTTTAGAGAGCTCAATTGGGAAATGTTTGTACATGAACGTGTCTTAGAATAATGTGTATTAGCTATAAATGCAATAAAAATTATTGAGGAAAAATGTGTATTTTTAACTTAGAGAAATTTTAGGTTGTCATGACTTTGGATTTTGAAATTGTGTTAGGATGGGATTGGTGAGTTGTTTCATGATTGGAGGTTAAGATAATGAGATTGTATGAGGTGTGGAGTGGTTAAAATTGAGTGAGAATCCTTTGAAATTACCTAGTTGACAATTTGGCCATGTAGGGAATTTTAGGGATTTGATGTTGTTGGCATGACCTGGATGATGTATCAAGTATTAAATGGTATTTAGATGGGTTGTGTGGTGGTTGGAAAGTAGAAGAATAAATGAAAAATAATTGAGGGTGATAAATGCCATAAAGGATCCTAGAGTAAAATATTAGGCAAAACGTTGTTTAAAAGACATAAAGTGAAAAACGACACTTGGTATGGCCTTTTGGCAACCTAAGGAAGTATAATAAAATGAGAAAGAAAATTTAGAAAAATAAATTATGAAATAAGCCTAAGAAGGCCGAACCTACAAGGGTGTAGGGGGGTTTTGACGTTTTTCGCGTTTTGATAGAATTGCTGTGTACTGACGGTTCGTACATGGTTATTGTAGGTTGCCGTACGTCGATTTGAACCCCGAACCGTGAGTCGGTGGATTGCCCTTGGTCCTGGACCAAGTGGGATTGAGGCATTCTGTTGAGTAACAAGCTTGGAAAATAAACTACTTGGAGCTAAGTGGAGATACACATTGAGGTAACTTCTTGGTACTGGGGCTTGTTCCCCTTGTGTGTTCCACCATACCCGTTGAGGGTGATGGTAGGAAATGTATATGAGTAGTGTAGAATAACATGAGCATGCATGTAGTATTTATGTGGGTACTTATGTACTGAGTCTCTGGCCAGTAGACAGTGTAGCCTTCGGGCAGTTCGGACTTCCACTGGATAGGTCTCCGAGAGGGAGTTCCCGTTGACCTAGGGTCGTGGTGTGTGATCCGGATAGGAGCACACTAGGAAGTCTCGGGTGTATGCGGATGGAAGGGGTACCTTGGTTGGATGTTCTAGGAACACGCCTTGGATGAGACCCATAGGCTTATATGCTGAGGACGTTGCGTGGTATTGGTAGCTACTATTCTCGCTTCTACGTCTTTTGTATTCCTATATTCCCCAGTTTCTCTAAATTCCTTGCTTTATCCCGTTTTTAAAAGTGGTTATTTTATATTATTTATATGCATCGAAGTGAGCCGTTGGGCGGAGTTTTATCCAGAACCTCTGGGTTACTGAGATATATTCGTATATCTCACCCCGTCTTGGGGGCTTTATTTCAGGAGGTAGCAGTGGTACGGGAGCGGCGGGCAAGAAGCCCGTAGGATGAGTCATTGGAGGACTTGCACTTTTTGCATTTTGATGGCCATTTGGCCTAGGCTAGACTTAGGGCATGAACCCGTGCATCTAAATGGTCAAGAGGTACCCAAAAAAGATGTTTTTAAATACTTGGGCTCCATTTTACAAAAAGGTGGAGAGATTGATGAGGATGTAAATCATAGAATCAGAGCAGGGTGGATGAAATGGCGCAGTGCATCTGCATTTTTGTGTGACCGCAAAATCCCCCTGAAGTTAAAAGGAAAATTTTATAAAACGGCAGTAAGACCGGCAATGCTATATGGAGCGGAATGCTGGCCAGCACATAGGCAACATGAGCATAAGATGAGAGTAGTAGAGATGAGGATGTTAAGGTGGATGTGTGGTTACACAAGGATGAATAAGATAAGAAATGAAGATATTCAACGAAAGGTCGGAGTAGTACCGGTAGCTGAGAAGATGAGAGAAGTTTGTTACCTAGAGCTAAACACAAAAAGAGGCAGAGGTAGGCCGAAGCTTACTTGGGGGAAGGTAGTAAAACAAGATTTAATGGAGTGGGATATAGATTGGCGGACAGTATGTCTTAGAACGGAATGGAGAAAAGCTATAAGTATGGTAGAAGGTTAGACCCGCTGTTATTCCTATGTTCCAGATGGTCCCTTTTTTAGTCCTTTCCCCCTTCATTTCCCCCACTTCTTCTTGTCCCTTTCTTTTTTACTTTTATTTATTTATATATACATATATTTTTATTTTATTTTATTTTATTTTATCTTATTTTATTTTATTTTTTTATTTTTTTTATTTTATTTGTTTATTTTATTTTTTTATTTATATATATATTTATTTATTTAATTTTATTTTTTTTGTGTTTTTTACTTTTTTTCAACCGTTTTGTATCTTTCATGTGGGTTCATCTACCACCGACCCCAATTAATTTGGGATAAAGGTGTTGTTGATGTTGATATTGATGTAGGAAAAACAAAGGAAACTCTAGCGAATTTTCTGTAGAATTGACAGAATTTAGACGAACTTCGGGAGAGCATATCTCCCTCCATAGAGGTCCGATAGGGACATGCCATACGCCATTTTAAAGCTTGAGATGTCCCCTACATTGTGTTAAAATCTGAGAAATTTCTAGGTTGAACGCAGCCCTGTAGAAACCTGTGAACACGGACTGTCCAGAACGCACCTATGCAGGGGCTGTTCTGGCAGTTTTTGGGAATTTTATTTCCTCTTCGTTTCTTGGTCAAATTAAGTGTATGATATGTCAAATTGAAGCTTGAGGTGTCTAGTTTATGGTATAAAAATTTTAGAGCATTTGAGTGAGTGGTTTTCTTGCAGTAATTCGTGGAGTGAAGGATCTTTGTAACTGTTTTGGGGTTCGTTGGCAGTTTTGCTTGTCCAACTTCAAACGGAGATATCCGGAGCAAACGAGATCAAAATGACTCGTGTGATAGCTCATTGTAAAGATAATTAAGTAAGAAAAAAATATAGCTAAAGATGAAGGACTGGTTTTGTGCAGTGTGTCCGCAGAAAAATAATAACCGAACCATGTTCGGATAGGTATAAAGCATAAGATTGAGAAATTGGCTAAGTGGGTTTATGGGAACCCCTTAGTGTCTTGTATTGAGTAAAATAAGATATAAAAATAGTTTAAATGAGTATTCCGTAAGAGTTTACAATTATGGTCACAACCTTTATTTATTACGCTTTTTACGGTTTTAAATGCTCGCGTAATAAACGGAAAAAGTTTACTCGTATTTTTATAAATGAATTGCTGTGATTGTAACTGCGCTAAATATCATAATTAATGTTAACAATACCGGTGTACAACGAGCTGTTACATTTTATGGTATCAGAGCAGTTTTGTTAGGGAACTCTGATAATGTATAGCTGTGTTATGTGCTGCATAGTTGTATGTAGACTCTTATCGATTATTACATATGTGATTCCGTAGTGTGGGTCTGATCAACCCATTCCTTTGTGTTACATGTGCGGTCATCATAAGAAGCCTACGTGGCAACCCTGGAGCACCGAGTGTAAGTCCTTAGTGTGACACCCTCCCTTGTATGCATCCAAGGGAAGAGTCTGCTAAAACTGATTAGAGACGTAACGTTGATGAGTAAAATTCTTATTCAGTAAAAACAATTTTATGTTACCAATCAAAATCTTGCTAGGAAAACTGACTTCACAAAATAAAAGCTTCAAGTAAATTTTTGGAAAGGCTTTCGCTGCGCAACTCTGATTTTTCTTGAAAACAGTCTATCTTGCAAAAATCATGTAAATTCTAAATCAACAACTTAAAAAAATATTCTTTGATATATAGAAACTAGACATCTGGGGCTTCGCGTACATATAAATTATAAGCGAATCGGAGGTGAATAGCCCAACGAAATAGAACTCACAAGGTAGTTGAAAATTCATTGTATTTTTCCAGAAACCTCCTGACTTGTAAAAATCATAATAAATCGAAATTACAAGATTTGAACATAATCTTTATATAATCTGAAAGTACACAACTGGGGCTTTACGTACATATGAATTATACCTCATTCGGAGGTCTGTGGCCCCAGAACGACAACTCGCAAAGTGCTCGCAAAAACAGTTCAAAAATCCGAATTTAAGTACAACAGCAATTCTTTTCGCAAACTAATTAGCAGAATTATAAACATCATGCTACACTTCTTTTCAAAACATAATATACATCATGGCAAGCCATTCTTTAAGAAACTACATCAAGGTCAAATATTCAGAATACACTCAACAGAGACAGCGAGCAAACAGTAAGGTTGTCAACAGCATAACTTAACAGAATTGTCATGTAATCATGTCATCAAACACTTCCTTAAATGCTTCTAAGTCCTCCTGCAATTTATAAAAATTGAGCCCCCGAAGGGGTGAGAAAAATTCCAGTAGTGTGGCAATAAAACCAATACAGCAACAATATTAGACTAGGCACAAAATTTCAAAACAGTCGCATCAACATTTAAAATTCCGTACAACTGTTAATCATCATCTTATTGCGCATATAACGCCATGGTCATGTATATTCATAATAGTCATAATAGTGCGTATATAATGCCATTTTCTTGTTAGTGCGTATATAACGCCATTTCCTTGTACATTCATAGCACTGTCGTGCACGTACTAACATACACAGTGGATATTCCATGATGGCTCCTCAAAGGTGAATTCCAACTGTGGCCTATGCGGACGGAAGCCAAGTGTCTCATACCCTGGTATCGAAGGGATGCCTATATGATGCGTGCTCAAACGTATGCATATTTATATAATTATCCTAGTCCATGAGCAGCATGAAATTCGTGCATGTATGCCATGATATGCTTTACACACAAACAAGAAACAAATGAATTATGAGGTGTATATGCATGACTAGATCATCATCATAATAGCATATATTTCATGTACTTTCCGTACCAAGCTGCCACATAACAATTACTTCTCATACAAAATTTTCCATATTGTCTTATTCATAGGCAGCATACATATAGCATATGACAGCACATTAATCCAAGACACGTGTGAGCAACAATTCACAATTCTATACACTAGCTAATAGTCATATTAGGTAATACCACCAAACACTTACCTTGACACTTTAGCTTTTTAACCAAGCATTCCAAACATCAACAAACAGCCCAATTATTTGGGGCCTTGCGCACCTAAACAAACATATACACCAAATCAGAATTTACATCTATTTTTCCTATGATTTACAATCAATTACCATGCTCCCTAATCCTTGATTTTAATCGAGCTCTATGCTTCCAATGTTAATTATATATTTCTTCCTTTACTTTTTGTCCTATCAATTGCTAGCAAGTAACAAAAGAAACATTTTAAGGACCTACACATGCAGGTTCGGTTTAGCCAACAACTAGGTGCACATAGCTTTTTCATTTATACAAAAGTCACAACCCACAATTCCTTAAGCACATAGGTTCGGTTTTCATGATTACTAGGTGCTTATAAATTTATCTATGACATATAATGCCCTACACTGATTAAGGTGTGCTATAGAAGCTAAGAGCATGCTGTTTTCATCATTCTAATAACATGCAGGGCCTAATAATTTTCTGATTCTAGGCTCCCAACGGAAGGTCATACTTCTAATACTAATTGATCTTCTTATTTAAGTTTTATTTACCAATTGTTTACAAGTGCAGAAAAATGAAATCCATCCCCTACGAGATTTGCAATCCTAGGTACACATATTACAAGTCAGAATTCAGTTCATGTTGTTCCTTATAATGTATCAACAAGTTTGTATGCTTCTAATCCTCATTCTTTGATCGGAGTTTTATGCTTCTAATGCCCATTATTATTCTGCCTTTAATATTATTCCACTAATTGCTAACAATTGAAATTTCCCAAGGTCCACCATATAAACTGAATCGGTCTTTTGACCCTCAAATAAGTGACTATAATCTTTTCCTTAACAAACTCCTACCAACATCACATAAACATTAGTGATTAGTCTATTAACATGCTGACTTCGATTATTAGAGCACATGCAAAGCCTAATCTATTTTCCTAATCCAAGGATAGCTCCGAAATTCAAGGTGATTCATGCTCCAAGTTTGTAAAACAGTTTTCAGATTTACATGCATTAAAATGGCGGCTGTTCAAGTGAGCAGAAAGGGTAGGCATGACAAAGAAAAAAAACTTCTTCCTAACATACTCAAGAATGCCGAAACAGGGTTGGTAAAAGAATTGCTTGAGGTCGACTTTACCTCTTCTTGCATACACACAACCGATCCCCAAATCAGTCCAAGAGGTAATCACCAACGTTTGAGTTAAAGTCCACATCTTCTACTCTCCACAGGTCACTGTGACACCTTCCCCTGTATGCATCCAAGGGAGTTGTCTGCTAAGCAGATTAGAGTTGAAATGTTAACAAGTAAAATTCTTTTTTCGCAAAACGTTTCCAGAATTTTTCCAAAGTCCTAACTGATCATAAAAATCTTAAAACAGTAGCCTAATAATGCTTCCAACAGTAATCCAAACTTCCCAAAATATTCCAATAATACAGTCATCCAACAGACAAACAATTAACAGCAGAAATCCAAACAGCAGCAGGTAACAGCAAAATCCAAATAACAATGTCATCAAATGCTTTTCCGTCCTCCTGCAATTTTATAAAAATTGAGCCCCAAAAAGGGAGAGAAAAATCCCAGTAGTGTGATAGAAAAACCAATTATGCAACAATATTAAACTAGGCACAGAATTCGAAACAGTCGCATCAACATTTAAAATTTCGTACAGCTGTTAATCATCATCTTATTGCGCATATAACGCCATGGTCATGTATATTCATAATAGTCATAATAGTGCGTATATAACACAATTTCCTTGTTAGTGCGTATATAACGCCATCATTACGCTCATAGCACCGTCGTGCGCGTACTAACATACACAGTGGATATTCCCTAATGGCTACTCAAAGGTGAATTCCAACTGTGGCATATGCGGACGGAAGCCAAGTGTCCCATACCCTGGTACCGAAGGGATGCCTATATGATGCGTGCTCAAACGTATGCATATTTATATAAATATTCTAATCCATGAACAACATGAAATTCGTGCATGTATGCCATGATATGCTTCACACACAAACAAGAAACAAATGAATTATGAGGTGTATATGCATGACTAGATCCTTATCATAATAGCATATATTTCATGTACTTTACGTACCAAGCTGCCACATAACAATCACTTCTCATACAGAATTTTCCATCTTATCACATTCATAGGCAGCATACATATAGCTTATGACAGCACATTAATCCAAGGCACATGTGAGCAACAATTCACAATTCTATACACTAGCTAATAGTCACATTAGGTAATACCACCAAACACTTACCTTGAGTCTTTACCCTTTTTAATCAAGCATTCCAAATATCATCAAACAGTCCAAGCATTTAGGATCTTGTGCACCTAATAATATATATATACATATATATATATATATATATATATATGTATATATATATATATATCCAATCAGAATTTATTTCATATCGCCATATACATCACATAGTGTTTCCATTTCTCAATCACTCGATTAATAATCGGATTTCAAGGTTCATAACTAATCAAATTTTCTGACTTACGGGTGCTTTATCAATGGTTATCAAGTGACAACACTCAAGTGTTCTATGCAGGCAGATTCGGTTTGCATAACCATTACCAAGGAGCTTAAAAATTGAATTAATTACATAACATGTTATACAAGATTTAGGAGGTTGATAGTGAGGTCTGGCGAGCTGCCTACAATAATTTTTAAGGCATTCAAGGCTTGGTTTATCTAATAGATGCTTATAACTTTCATTTCACACTGTATCAATATCACTTAGTCAAGAACTAATAGGTTATTTAACGTGATTACTACCAGAGTTATAAACACACACAAGGCCCGATTCAAATCTGATTTCATGCTCCTCCTACCAATAATTATTAAATAGCATAACCATAACTTTCCATGCATGTGGTTCGGTTCTTTAGTCATTAGCACAGGCTTCCAACTCTTTTATTTTGATCAATTCTCATGCTTCTAATGCAATGGTTTTCTGCCTTGAATTTTATCCTTTCGATTTATAGCAATTAACAACTTCCCAAAGTTCATACAGGTTCGGTTTTCTTGTCCATCAATTGCATTCCATTTTTCTATAACTTAACACTTCTTAGGTCACTTAAGTATGATCATAACATTTTTAGCATTCTGCCCTCTTAAGTTAACACATGCAAAGTCATATACATTATTTTAATTCAACAAACAGTCCAACCCAGTTAAGGGACGCTATGTTCTAATCTCCTACATCAGATTTCTTTGTTGTGCTTGTGTGCTTCAAACCTGGCCTCAAGACTGGGCCGAGGCAAGGAAGGTTGAATAACCAAAAATGCATCATCCTAGCATATAAGTGATGTCCGAAACAGAGAAGGAATGGAATAACACAATTTTACAGTTTTTAGGCATATAGACAGCGTCCGAAAAAAATCATGAGAAGGAATGACAAATATATATATATATATATATATATATATATATATATATACACACATCTCCCTTTGCATGCAAGTGGTGACCGAACCAAAAGGAAGAAAAAGAGGAGCTTAAAACTCAATCTCACCTCCTTGGCTGCATCAAACGGTTTCGGATTTCAGTGATGGCAGCCACCTCTTACTTCAAATACTCAAGAATTCGAACTTAAGACTCCTTGGATGTGTCATCGGCTGAACAAGGGTGGAGAGGAACAAAAGTAGGCTTGTGCTCTAACTGCATGCAAGAGATGACAGTACCAACTCAGGACCGAATCGGTTACATGCAATGGGAGTAGGCACCCAAACAAGGCAGAATCAAGAGCATGCAATAGAAGAAGAAGTTTGATCAGAATCGATCCAGTATGAAGGAGCAAGAAGACACAAAAAAACACCTCACCTCCTTGAGATTGGCCTTCGGCCGAACAAGAGAAGGGGAATGGTTGATGGTTTCAATGTGCAGTCCTCTTGGCTGCTGCATTCTGTCGAATCAATGAGGAATAGAAAGAAGGAGGCTTGAATGGTGTTTCGTCTCTTAGGAACTCACGGCTAAGAGTGGAGATGAGGGGAAAAGACATGCAAATTAAGATTGTGTGTGTTCTTCATGATGGTTTACGGTTTGAGAAAGGAATGGTTGGCTGAGTTTCTGACTTTGTTTCTTGTTGTACTCACAGTTTGACGAGAGGATAAGAGGGATCATGTGCTGTTCTGAATAATTGACAAAACTCACACTACAAGAAAAAAGTTTATTTGTGACGAAATGTTTTCGTCACAAATATTGTCACAAATGATAATTTTTGACACAAATAATCAAATTTCGTCACAAATACATTTGCGACACAGGAATTTGTGACGAAATTTACTTGTGACGTAAGAATTAGTGACGAAATTTCATAAAATTTTGTCACTGATAAGATTTTTTCTTGTAGTGTCATATTTGTTCCCCTCCTAATATGCGCATAAGGAGAAAAATGTGGATTGATTAATGAGCCATTCTTTTGACCAAAAGTTGAACATGCAAACAGGTTTGTTTTTCCTTGTATTGTGCGCACAAGAAGAGATTAAGGAGAGATAAGGTTGGACATGTGTTCCCCTTTCGCCAATAAAATTTCATGCAAAGAGATTTCTCTCTTCTTATTGGGTGCAAGGGTGGTGAGATAAGATGGTAGGGATTTGCCATGTGGCCATTTCATGACCAATTAATTTACATGCATGCAGATTTTGTGAGAGGTAACTAAAGGTTCACTTATTACATGAAACATATACATATTAATTATTATTTACTGTTCCCACTAAATAGTAATTAGGATTCCTACCTATATTATAACTAATTGTAATTGTACCCCTTTTTAACTAGAGTTTTGCCTTCTTCAAAGTAAATATATTTATATACTCCCTCATAATTGCCATGAAATAATTTTCCTAATTGGAATTAAGTCCACCCTACACATGTACATAATACGAATTGTAGCCATGCTTCCATGTTCCTGACTGTAATTTATTCAACTTCCTAAATTCGTGGGATGTTACACTCTCCCACCAAAATTTGAAGTTTGTCCCCAAACTTCTTCCTACCATTCCGAACTCTGCTTAAGTCTAATGCTTAACACCATTGCACCACGCCATACCGTTTATTACATTCAGACAGACATCTATCAATGTCATCAAATAATTCAGAGCATTACAAGCAAATTTGTACTTTCTGGGTCATTAGATAATATATATAACAAAATTTTATTTGTACGAAAGGAAATAAAAATCTTCCTAAGTTCAATCATGATACAAACAATTGCCTGAGTTCCTTTTTAACCTCATAAAAGACCCTAATACACAAGGTGGAGTAAAACTGACATAAACTCTTACTCGTACGGAAGGAAGTAGAAACTTTCCTAAGTTTATTCAGAACAAACAAATTTTTTTTGGTTTCTATTTAAACAACGTTAAAGACTATACGGCAACAAAGACGAAGTAAAACCGACCAAAAGACTCCAATTATCCATAATTGTAAAGAAGCTCAGGGTTTTGGTGCATACTTAGGATATAATTAAACAGATCTATTTGCACAACAATTCTGCACTATATAAATTCTATGTTCGATGGTCGACAGGACAAAACAGCCACCTTTGTCTTCTACTTTCATGATCTCCTTTAAGGCCCAAAGAAATCCTATTCTAGTGCTCAAACAAGTTGTGAACCCGGTCCCATGTCGGCATAAAGTTGTGATTATCTTTAAATGTTATTATTTATGTTTCTTGTTTATTATATGTGTCCACATATATAACATGCCATTCTTCTATTTATTCGCTTGCTACACCTACTCTACTGAAGACGCATATCATTACCTACATTATGACTTAATAATTTTATGCAAAATGGGTGAAAGTTCACAATTCAGTTTACAAGGTCACTTCACAATTGCTCACACAACAAAATTTTACCATCCCGAATTAGACAATTTTTAAAACAATTAGATGTACCTGCCTAATACTTGTGCAAACAGAGGACTACGTAACTAGAGCCTTCAATTACACTTATTTTATCTATAAAGTTTACATGTTACAAATTATAATTTCATCCACTCCCTAGTTATTCCTTACATATGATAAAATTCAATTCAATACGCAATTCATCACTAATTACCTGACTTGGCAACCATCACGAATAGAATTCCACAATTTAATAGTCTACAGAGCAACGAATAAGTAAAACATAATGCATTATATTCCAACTTACAATGTAGAAGGGTCTTCATAAAATCACAGAATTTCATCATAGACAGAATTTCAGTAAATGTTTTTATTTTCTAAAGATCTTAGTCCATCACTATTGAGGTATAAAATTTTAACTGCATCAATCAAGTTAACAACACCTTATTTGACATTATCTTACGGAAGAAGGGATTGCATTGATGAGGAGTACTTTTGGCTAGAGCTTAGGGTTTAGGAGGCACTTCTAATTAAGCTCTAACGATAAAACTGAATTAAGAACACGAGTAAGGATACCTAGGTTCCAAGGTACTAACTTCTGTTTGTCAAGACTATAATGGACGTTACGTTTGTTCATTTATTTTGTAGCTACTGTCTAAATTTTTTCTAAGGTCAAATGTAACCAAGTCAATCCTTTTACATCGTACACAACAAATCCAGGATACCGAGCAGTCATGTATGTAGCTAATTAATTCTAGTATGTTCTTCGTACATATCACGTAAGGTGGTACCTCTCATACAGTTCGTCAAAACACCCGTAAGAGGAAACTTCCTCGAGCTTTCCGCTGTCCTAGGTACCTCGGATGTAATTGACTCCACTGATCAGATGATCCATTAACTATGATATGAACTTTCCAATCATTATACACACCACAATTTAAACAGCTACCAATCATAATCCATCACAAAACCAGGCTTTCATAATTCACATGCACAATAACCACATTCAACATCTTAATTGCAGTTAAATATCCCTTTAGATTGGCAAATAATAATAAAAAGAAGAATACAGTCACTGACAAAGCTATACACAAACTCGGTTCTAATACTCTTCCTAGTATATACTACACATCAAATTCATTTTCCAATAGAAAAGAGAGTTCCCAAATTCAAATACTCAAAACAAAAGGATTAACACACCAGGCTCCCAAAATACAAGAGTTTTCATGAAGCAGTTAGACTAAAACAGAACATACGCATTAAGATCATGAAACACATATAATTTCTTGAGCGCAGCACCCAAGCTGATTTTAACTAAGCGTCACTACTATGGAGTTTACATTCTAGACGGTTAAAACAATTTAAGCAATTCATAAACTCAAATTCTGATATCTTACAAAAAAATTCAATTTCAAATACTTCTTTTTAATTGCTACACCCAAAAACTGATACCCAAAGCTAATAATATATTTTCATAATTTCAATTTATCAAACCTAAGACTCCTCATTAAATTTCTATCCTGACAAGCCAATACCAAGATAAAGTTTTCATGTATTTAATTTATCAAACAGAGATCACTCACTTTTAATACAACTTAAACATCAATTCATTACTACGCCCACTTATATGGTTCTACAATTTTAGTTTGCTTGTTCCGATTATTCAAGTCATTCCCTAGATTAGATTCTCACATAATTTCAAACATATGTACCAAAACCACTAAACAAAACTTTTTCAGTAATTGATTCTCGGTGTTTGACAGTTTGATACTACCGTGTTACCGAAGAATGTGTCGGGCAGACCCATTCCCAGTCACAGCTGGAGTATCACCTCATCACACACTGGGAATCGGCAAATTCCATACTTCATTATTCATTCCTCATTCAGGAATTAACCAATTACAATCTGCTACACATCAGACTTCTCTCTTGAGGAGGTTTTCGTGTCTCATAAATACTAATTCTACCTTCGTCATGCCCAGGGTGTACGTGGAATTGGGGTTACCATCCCGTATCGTCGTAGTTTATATCTTTATATTCCTCATTTCTCTAAATCCCTTGCTATATCCCGTTTTCAAAGTGGTTGTTTTATTCTATTGATATGCATCGAAGTGAACCATTGGGTGGAGTTTTCTCCAGAACCTCTTGGTTACTGAGATATATTCGTATATCTCACCCCGTCTCGGGGCATTTATTTCAGGAGGTAGCAGTGGAGCCGGAGCAGCGGGCAAGAGGCCCGCAGAGTGAGCAGTGGAGTGCTTCATATTTTGCATTTTGTTGGCCGTGTGGTCTAGGCTAGACTTAGGGCATGAACATCTCATATGTATGTGGGATGAGCTTCATTAGCATATTTGTTCATGCCATTTTGCCTAAGTCTAGTAGTTATGTATTTGGTTATGTTGTCATTTGAATTTAAGTTGTAATATTGGAAGAATGTAAGTTAAAGTTTAAGTTTCAAGTTGTAAGTTGTAAAGCAATATTGTAATCGTATTGATGCATGACTATTTATGATGGAAGGGCCTTAGGCCTATTTTAGGGTATGATTACATGTATAATGAAAATATGCATGAAAAAGGTGTTAGTGATTGCAACTACTTAAGGATGATTAATATGAACTATATGCCTAATAACTATAAACTGGATTGGGTTGTAAGTGCCCCAAGGCGTTGTTGGTCCTTGTGTGTGCCACCCATTGGATTATTACTGTATTATCATGTGATTATTAGGTACATTTGAGGTTTAAATGACCTTTTACAAATTTTGGATTATTGGAAAAACAAAGGAAACTCTGGCGGAATTTCTGTAGAATTGGCAGATTTTAGGCGAACTTCGGGAGAGCATATCTTCCTCCATAGAGGTTCAATAGGGACGTGCCATACGCCATTTTGAAGGTTGAGATGTCCGCTACCTTGTGTCAAAATTTTGGAAAAATCTGGGTTGATCTTCGGCCTGAAAAAAATGGAGAAACACGGACCTGATTTGGGAAATTAATTCACGCTTCTTTTCTCACTCAAATTAAGCGTGTAATATATCAAAATGAAGTTTGAGATGTCTAGTTTGTAGTATAAAAATTTGAGAGCAAATGGATGAGTGGATTGAGTGCAGTAATTCGAGTAATGTGAGTGGTTTGGAGCTGTTTTTGGGGTTGTTTGGCTATTTGCTTATCCAACTTCAAACGGCGATAACCGGAGCAAATGAGCTCCGAATTGAGCGTGTGATAGCTTGTTGAAAAGGAAATTAAGTAAGACAAAGATATAATCTGAAAAGAAGGTTTGGTTGCGAGCGGTGTGGTCGCAGAAAAATTAAGAGTGAAACATGTCTGAATAGGTAAAAGCGTAAAGTTTGGAAATTGGCTAAGTGGGTTTATAGGAACCCCTTAGTAACTTATAATAAGTAATGTAAGTTATAAAAATAGTTTAAATAAG